GGGACGTAATGTCTGGCTATTTGGATGGAGTATATGATGGAATACCCCTAAAAGATCTGAAAGTCTTGAAAAAAGGGCTTGGATGACTGGTTTTTAACCCCTTAGAGATTGCACAACAAATATTGTTACATCAGTTCTAATGATCAAATGTATAAACTATTCATAAAATGTATGAAATATTTAATGTCAAAACAAAACACGAGGAAAATCAATATCGATGCGCTCTTTGTCTTCTTTTCCGACACCATAAAAGAGATTGCAGAAAATGCAAATTTAAAGAACTCCAAATTGGCACCCTAAAAGATTTACATTCACGATTTTTTACCCCTAAAAGATCCGACGAACACCCACGGTACTTTTACTCCGGAGTTCTCCCCGGGATTTTCTAGTTTTTTCTTGAATCGATAAAACCAGGGGTGGATAGAGGTGACCAGTCACCCCCCTTTACTCAAATGAAATGATAATGCAAACTTAGGAAATAGTAAATTATTGGGTAAAAAAAGGATACACGCAATTAGTCTTGGTAATGTATCTTTTAATTATGTGAATAACTTTTAGGTTATTATAATACCTACTTCCAAATGTTAGCTATCTCTCTCTCTAAAAAAAAATTCACCCCATAAAAAAATCCCTCAGGGTTAGGAAAATTAATAGTAAATGAAATGGATAAGATTAAAATAAAAAATAAAAAAAATCGATGATCAGAGCTCGACTATACTGTGACGATATCAAGTTCTAAACGTTAAAGAGTCAACTTCGCATGCCTCCGGACCCCCCTATAAAAATCGTGCCTTCGCTGATCCTGGATCCGCCCCTGAAAACGATATAAATATTCGTTGACTGGTCACCAAAATCCATTTCTTTTTCTAGCAGATGTGTTATGGGCATTTAACACTGTTAGCTCGCCTCAACGAGTAATCGTAAGCTGTTCAAAATATTATTTTATTTTTAAAAAAATGTAACTTGCAGCGAGTACTTGACAGTTACGACAGGAGCAAAAATTAATAATTATGTATCACTTTAACTAAGGCTTGGTGATTTTCCATAAAAATAAAAACATTACTATGTATGTAAAAAAGCTATAAAACTTTAAAATSCCCTATAAATTAAGCGCAATAGAAAAATACATGTATGAATATTCAAGTAAAAATACGTGATGAATGTCACACTGGAAGTCACGCAATATCAATTGTTTGTTGACATACTTGAAACCTGATCGTACGACTTGCAATAAAGCATTGTAGCCTGTATTAKCAGAGGTCATGGCTACACCAATTGTAAATAGTGTAAAAATGTGAATTAGTACTTATATAGTGGCTTTAAGWGAGAAAYGTTCSCTCCAATTATGGAAATTTTGTTTAAGAGACGTATGAAAACCGTACAACTTTAACTGCCTACAAAATTTCAGCAAATAAAAGTGCCAAATTTAGGATTGCTTTATATCAACAAGAAACCTTTAAATAATTATAATATCAAAGAATTTTCAAAATAAAGTGCCGCACTTTTGAGAAATTATTTTTTAAAGTTGCCACAAATTTCAATGTTGGMGAAAGTACGTCAACCATACGATGTTTGTCAAGGCCCTGACACAAACGATTTTAGAAAAACTACTTTAT